TTTATCAAAATATGCAGGTAGCCAGATGCTTCTATTTTGGATCATGATGGTCATATGTAAATGTTCAAGATTAACTAATTCTTTTGTTAACATAGCTGCTGCATCAGCTTTACCATTTGAAAATGAGACACACTTAAGGGTAACAAAGGGCATTCTACTTTCTCTATAACATCGTGGTTCATCTCTAGAACTACAAAGATCGGTGCTAAGCAGCCTTTCTCTATAACATCGTGGTTCATCTCAGCTAAAGAGTCGTCAAATAAGGTAGTAAAGGGCATTCTACTTTCATTTTGTATTGATTTGAGCAAGAAAGGCGTGTAAAGTATAGAGGGTGTTCTTAAGATTAAAATCTCAAGAACAAGTGAGTGCATCAAGTGTTATGTTATGTTAATAAATGCCTCTCAAAAACTCTTATCCAAAAAAAAAAAAGTGGACATTTTTCTTTGAAAGTGTTGCAAAAGGATTACATTTGCCAAATATATAGGTTTTGATACGAATCATCTATATAATCTTGTCTCTATAATAGGGAACCCAACTGGGTAAGGCTCTTTGCTTGTTCCATTTGGAAAATAGTCTTAATCTTAAAAGAGCTTATCTCAATGTCATGTTGTCAAACTATGAAGTCAAAAAAAAAAAAAAAATCTAGAACACGCCTCAAAAGTGAACTTTGAAGTACTCTTCTTAAGGTCAAATTGTCATAGACACATGAAGATAACCCATAAATCATATAAGTGATCATCATCAAAATTGCTCGACCACCAAATCATCAACATAACATTTAAATTAGTTATGTACCAGAATATCAAATATATGTTTTGCCATATATTTATCATCCATTAATACATAGCTCCTGCAGTTTTAGACCATAATGCGATAATAATATACACCATAAATGCTATGAAACTCTCATCCTTAGGGTCCATCTATATTTGCTCATATCCAAATGAGCCTTCTATATAGGAGAATATGCTATGGGACAATGGCATATCAACCATAAGCTATAAATCCTGTAATAAAAATCTTCTTTATGATATTTTGCTCAAATCATAGGAAACAACAAACAACCAAATAGGGCCGTTCATTCATCATACAAGAACCCTAGCCAAGCATATGAGGTATTTTTCTTCTCCGATAAAGCAAACTTCCATCAATTTCTTAATCTTTGTGATGATTTATTATTCACTTTCTAGAAGCATTTATATAGGGGCTTGTTTAATAAAAGCTAAATCAAGCTTAATAACAAGTCCTATCTCTACCTAGTATGTCCCTAATCTCGACTTCATCCTCTGTCTCACCCTTGCACCCATCCAACAAATCTTCCCCCTTTTGAAGGAAGGCATACAAATGGTGACTATGCAGCATACAAACTACACTGTGGAGAAGAAAGACAAGAAGATGCATATTCTTGAGCACATAATACTCAAAATCATTATAAATGCACCTCATTCACAATAAACAAATGGATACCATTGAGAATGCAGTACTCTATACTAGCATACATAGACTTTATACAATAATACGTTGTAGAAGAATTAATCTCATACTCACATAGTCATGGCCTTCCCATCAAGGCCCCTATATGAAGTATTAGAATCTATCACATGAAACATAGCCATAGTCTTAAGATCTCCAAACTATAGTAGGCAATAGAGACAAGAATCTTCAGGTTAATTAAATTAACAGACATGTCAGAATCGTCAACAATGTTGTTCAAACAATTTTCATTTACCTAAATGTGACATAAAGAGGACAATTATATTCTGTAGAGCCCAGAAGGAGATCTTAATAAAAAAAAGTTGGAAACCTTTTCAATATAATGAGCCTCTTTCATGAAAAAACTATAAAATATGCATGATAAAGCTCAGGCTTTAGTAAGGAATTCACTAAGGTCTCTGGCAATGGAGGGAATAATATCAATAAATCATAAATGCTAAGTGTTGATGGAAACAACTAAAAATGAGAAGGCGTTATACTCCACGCTGTAAGGAGCAAGTTAACCATTCTCTTGTGTGAAGAAAGTTGAGAAAGGATGCCATCCTCCAATGTGATAATCATTTTACCCATATTTTTGGAAATGGATTGCGATTTTGGAGGTGAAATGACCATAACACTAGACAACAAAATCTGTTCTATTTATTAACACTCTGAAAATGTGTCCTTTTATAGAATAGAAGTTGGACCTGGTGACGATCTTGCCTTAATGAATTAGGAAGAAGGCATACTTTGTCACCAGTCATTAGAATCATAAAATATACGAGAACATTCATCATTCATTTTATCAAAAAGAAGGGATATATCATGAGCAACAAGGTTGACAGATTATTCTTTTTCCCATTCCCCAAGAAAAATTTCTTGCAGATGTCTAATTCTCCCTTCCAGATCATCATCTTTGAGCCTTATCTGAGGGACAAAATGTCATCAAGGACACGGTGGTGAATAGTAAAGCTATCAAAAACTAATGCGCTTAAAAGTATCAGGAGCTCTAACAGGAGACAATTATGTGTCCATCCTAGGTATCCACCAGAGCCGAACACAATCATCATGAAAATAAAAAACCAATGGTTGTTTGCCACCATTTTTGTCTACATTCAGCACGCCAACTAGCCTCATAAAATGCTAGTGGGTGTCTACACCTCAATATCTGCATGTGTTCACCAGAAACATCTATTTCTGACTCTATCCCTATCTCTGTTAATGTGAAAGCAAATCTTGAAGATCACCTACAAGCTTGGCGCTCTGATCTCTCACAATGGAGGTAAGTTGTAATCATCAGAGAACCCACTATTGTAATGAAGCAACTCCTCTAAGGCTAGCTACAGCTATATGAGCAATCAATTGTCATATGCCGACCGGACCATATAAACTACTCAAATGAATAACACCCCTAATCCTCTAGGTAAAAATCCATGATGTCACAGAAGTGATCCTAAGAAAAGAGTATAGACGAATAGGTCACCTCGATGCAATCCTGAATGCAGTCTCCTCACTACTATCAGTAAAGCCTCAAATATGTTCTTTATAACCACTATTGATTGTGATGCTCCAATAATCATTCCAGTACCCTATTACATGACCTTTCAGCCCTTCTCCCTAGTTGAACAATAGCAAAACCATCAGTATCAGAGGTACCTACGACAAAGGTGGTGACGCCATCATGAAGGCCAGCACTAGACTCCTCCAGGGAAGACAACCTAGTGAACATAGAAAGTTTGAACAGATATCAATCTCAGTATTAAAGTGAGACCTCTTCTTTTAGACTGAAAGAAGCTCATCCACATTGTTAACAAGGATCACAAAATCAAAATATATCCTCGAATCTTTTTTCTGAAGAGGTCATATGGTTGCTACCTCAATAAAAGTGGGGTTATAGCCGGGTGATGGCAGCCTGGAGACAGCCATGCCTAAATTGTCTGGTGGTCTCTCTCTTAGATTGATCAACAGTGAAAATGGGAGCCTGCTTATCACTCCTATGAAAAGCTCAAAACTAACCCTAGTACTCATCAACATCTATCATTATCCTCAAAGTAAAATATCATTCTGACTAAAAATATATCTATAGCATCCAATTCATTGCTGCCATTACATCTTAATTGGTTTAAGTGATATGAGAAGAACACTAGATGACTGAAAAAAATGTATCAACTACATATGCATGTTACATAACAGGACTGCATTAAAACACAAACATTAGATCCAAAGATAGAGAAAAACCATTTCAAACAGAGTCTTTAGAAATCTATAAGCTTCAAAAGATGCTTATGGTATTGCAGTAGATGATCGATCATAGCTAGTCAAGGTATTTTATAGTCATGTGGGGATCAATTAGAGGCAGATTAGAAACATCAATTTCAAAAATTCATCCTATAATAAATGCGGATTTAAAAGTTCTTTAATTGTGGGGCTCGAAGTTTTCCATTGAAGGAAGCTCCTAAAATTAATTGCATCTCAAATATATTCAATAAACGCCCCGACTAAGGAGTCAGTAACCATGTTCAAGCTACATGGAATTGTTAGAGGTTTGGTTGGACCAAAACTAGAATAAACTCAAATGCATTGGAATGGACACAAAAGAGGGACTTACAGCTCCATATCAACTGGAGGGAGATGCCTAAGAATGAATTCACAGTGCCAACACTTAGCCGACCCCACATAGTGGGAAAAGGGTTTGTTGTCGTTGTTGTTGTTGTTGACACAGCAAGATTAAAAGCTGATAAGTCATGTGTTTATATTTAACATAATAAGCTCGCATGTTTAAATCACTACTCTTGATAGGACAATATACTAGGTGTATTTTCATTTTAAATAAACATAAACCATTAGTGAATGATGTGCAGCTCTAGGACCTATTTGTCACACAAGAAACCTAGGCAACATCAATGTATCACAAAGCAATTAATGCAGAGCAATGAAAATACTATAAAACAATAGGATATGGACATAAAAGAGAGTTAAAATACTTTATCATTTATTTTTGTTCAATCTGTTATCCTACTGTTCCCTACAAAATATGTGTCAACAACACAGCATAATAATATCATTACTCGGCTTACATCACATGAGAGATCACACTATACATGAGCAGCCCTCAGCCACAACCAGTTGAAAGTATGATCAAGCACAAACAAATATAAGGAATTAACATTAATAAAGAAGAATTTATAATTTTATAAAAATGCAAGCAAATTATGGGAATGCAATGATATGACTTTATGTGAATACAAAAAAATTAAGCAAATCAATTATTGAGTACCATAATTTACTATATGTACAAAAAACAAACACAACAAGCATTGATTTCTAAAAGTAACATCAAAAAAGGATCTTAATATTAAGCAAATCATAAAAATCTCCAAATAACATAATATAATTATGCAAGAAAAGTATGGTGTGGAATCTTAGATTCACATTCGAATTAAATTATTCCTGTTAACATGAAATTGAATTTAATGTTACATGAAGATTCCTTATGCTTATTTGTTCACAGGAGGTATACGTCATACCTTTATCTCATCAGCAAGCTCCTTGGGAGCCACCTTGGTATTCAAGAACTCGTCAACTTGCTGTAGTGTTACCTTGCGGTCCTATTAACAGAACATATAAATTTAAAATTCAATTTTGATGAAATACAAATGATTCAATATAAAAAAATGGGACGCAAAACAATTTTAAAAGTAAAAATGGAAAATTGCATTTGGTGATTTGAAGACAAACTTCTGCAAACAAGAGCTTCTTGGTGATGAGCTGTATGAGAGCAGCAGTGCCCAGCAGCTGAAGTAAAGTTTCTATCTGCAGATAAATGTTAGTAATTATTTGATGAACCCAGAGGAAAATAGATATTGTTTGGTTTCATAAAATTGAAACAAAAGAAATTTAGGGTATTTATATACATACCACTCAATTCTTATGCATTTACATATCTAACTCCTAAATTTTGCTTTATACATTTATAACACTCAAATTATTCATATCAAATAAAAAATACCACCATTTTCAATTTTTAAAGAGTGAAATACACCTTTTCATGCATAGGTAAGGTGGCATGTATGAAAAAAATGAAGTTTGGGTATTACATATGTAAATGCAGAGGAAATGAGTGATATGTATGTAAATCTTCCAAAAAATGAATATTAGAAACACTGAATAAATCGATAACCTCAGTGAAGGCAAACAAGCCCAAGCCAGTGGCAGCTGCTAGACCAATAGTGACAGGTAAACCATCCGACGTCTCCTGAACATGAATGACACTGTTGCTAATTCATGAAGATGGTTTAAAATTATAAATAGGAAATCATTTTCATAGAGTAGTAACAATTGCCAAAGTTATATATTGAAAAATCAGCAATTATTTAAAAATTTTATATACTTACGGAAACAGCATTGGAATGGAAAACTAGATTATCTCAAGCCTTCTAAACAAGACATAATCTAGTTAAATAATGCATATACCTTACAGCTATAAGCTCAAAGGTTTTATTTTGATGCAGATTTGATAGTTAGCTAATGCTTTTCAACTAAAGCAAACCATCTTCATTATATAAAAAGGAGCAATTACGTACATAGCACTCAAAACATTGCTATTTACAAATCTATCACCCTCTTTCATTCATTTTCCAGATCCTCATTCAAAAACCAAAATTCAAAATGAAACCTCAACCCATATTTTTCATTTTTATCAAACTCTCAATGGTTTAATCGTGACGTGCATAAATTTATCAGTTATTCGATCATTCAAAAAATAGCCTGGAATCTAATCTTGTAAATAGCAATACTTCAAGTTCGATGTATGTAATTATCCCTACAGATAAAAATAACAACAACAACATTGTGTATTATTCAAAAAAAATTATATTAAAAATAAGCAAAGAAGAAATTACTCATTAGAATAGTGAGAGCATACCCCAATGGAACTAAGTGCATCTGTTAATTCACTAAAATCAGGCAAGAATGTCTTTTTAGGAGATGTCCAAGGAAGGCCACTATTCTGCACAAATAGTTTATGCAAATAAGACCACAGAAACTGAAGTAAATTACTCTACACCGCCACATTTCCATAAAAAAAGGGTGCTGATCAATGTGATAACCCTACAAATTATTGGATTAAATGAGCAACCTTCCATCCTCGAGGTCCTTCGGCACCATCCTTTACTGCAAAAGCGGCTTTAAAACCATTCAGAGTTAGCAATTCCGCAACCAATTCAGAGTTCCCATCAAACCTGGCTTTCATCAAAACATTCCACAAAGTCAGTCCTAAGTAAAACAAAAGAAGTGCAACAGAAGATTTGATTAAATATGAATGTTTAGGTGTTAGATATGTTAATACATAAGAAATATGTGGTGCATATGTAAATGCCGTTTCTTTTAGGGGCATTTACATGCGTACCACATAGTTCTTATGTATTTACATATCTAACAACTAAACCTTCCTATTTACATGTATATTATTTAAATCTTTCACATCGCATCAAAAATACCATTATCACTATTGTTTTAAAATTGTGATACACCTTTTTAAGCACAAGTTTATAACACCAAGGTGTTACGAGTGTAAATATCAAACTTTGGGTATTAATTATGTAAATACATAAGATTTGTGCAATATGTATGTAAATATATCTTAGATTATATCACCTCAAAAATACCACTCTTTGGACTTTTAAAAAGTGAAATACAACACTTTTTCATGCATAGGTAAGGTGGCACAAATGTAAAAGTTGAAGGTTAGGTGTTAGATATGTAAATACACAGAAATTAAGTGGCGTGTAAGTAAATCTTCCAAGATATGCATCTTGTTTATATCACTGTTTATGATATAATTGAGCATCCTGTTCTAGCATGCATTCTCATGAAGAAACAAGGTGAACCCAAAACTATTTAGCAAAAAAACATAATCTAACTTTAGTTCTCGCAAATAAAAGTTCAAAATTCCATATCATAATCATCAAAATCAAATAAAAACATAATCCTCGAACTCAACCATACTTATCAATGACAATCAATGTGGTATTCCCGGGATCCTTAAACTTCAAAGAAAGCTTTTTCAAAAACCCCGCTTTATCTTCCCTTCGAAAACTTATGGCCACCGCCTTCTTCTTCAATCCGCGCAGGTCTGGACTCCCCACCTCCTTCAACTCCTTCCCTTCCCTTACATCGAGCAGCTGCACACCCTCATCCTCCGCAAGCTTCGCGTACGCGCTCTTTGCCGACTCCACTCCCCAGGACTTGGAGCGGCCCAGCGTCTGTGATATAATAACTGGAACCAGCACGACTGCAACCCCTCCAGCGACGATCAAAGGGTTCTCGGCTCCGAACTTCACAATCCCATCAACGATCCTGGCGAAATCGAAGTCGTTCGAGGAAGTTGAGAACCCTAGAACCTCGTCGTAGGTGAGAGCATTCGATATGCCCGCGAAGCAGAGAGGTGAAGAAAGAGAAACCAAGCCCTCGTTGAATCGGCGGAAAAGGGAAGCTGAGGGGTTCAATGTTCTGATGCGGTAAAGAGGTCTTTTGGAACTGGAACTTTTGGGGAGAGGAACTGGGGCGAGACTGGCGACATTGAGAACCTTCATAGCATTATTATGCGGGTGGGTTAGGGATTTGGGGTTTACGAAAGGGAAAGTGAGGGGAATCGAGGGGCTTGTGAAGAATGAAGTTGGTTGGTCCTCAGTGCTGGAAGGATGGACGAGGTGAGGTTGAGGATGATGACGTGGGAGGAATGGATGGGAGGAACAAATGGAATGACGACACGTGGACAGCAGAGGATCAGATGACGGGGAGAGAGTCGGACAGCTGGACATGATCAAAAGCCAAATTTAAACACCTAGTCTTCTAATAAGATCATTAGATTAGTGATATTTAATATGATCAAATCATCAAAGACAATTCTCTCTAATCTTATCTATCATTGCAGCTACACCAACCATCTCATGGATATATTTGTTTCACATTTTTGTCTTTTAAGTGTAAAGTCACTCATCCACCTAGACATTCTCATCTCATCAATACTTAATTTTATGCTTATCTTTCATAGGCCAACATTATGTTTCATAAAGCATTGTTGGTCTCGCCAGTATCTTATTAAATTTTCGTTTAAGCCTAAGCGGTATTTTTCAATCAAACAAAAGGTCCAGTGCATTCCTCCACTTCAACCATCAAACTTGAATTCTACTAATAACATTCTCATTTATTTCATCGTCTCTTTGAACAACCGCGTCACTAGATTTACTACTACTAAAATTACATTCTATGCATTTAATTTTAGATTTACACGAACGAAAGCCTTTAGACTCGAGAATTGACTTCCATAAGTCAAGTTTTTTCCTAAACTCTTTCTTGAGTCTTATCCACCAGAATGATATCATCAACAAAAAAATAAACATTGGGGCACATCATCCTGCAATTTTGTTTAGTTAGAACATTCATAACTAAAGCAAAAAGAAATTGGCTTAAGATCTTTCATGTAATCCAACTAAAATAGGAAAAAACTTGGTCAATCCTCCTGTTCAAACACAAGTAAGTAATAGCTCTAGTATATATATCTTTAATGACTTAAATATAAGTCATATAAACATCTTTCTTTTCTAGAACTCTCTGAAGTATTTCTCTGGATGCCTTATCATGATTTTTTTTCTAAATCAACAAAAATCATATGTTGATAGTTCTTACACTCTTTGTACTTCTCCATCAACCTCTCAATAAATTTATAGTTTCCAAAGTAGACTTGCCCAACATAACGTCTTAACTTATGTTCAATTACTCTCTTCCATAATTTTAATATATCACACATTAACTTAATGCCTATATAATTTACACACTCATTTGCATCTCCTTTATTGTTAAAATTAGAAACCAAAAAAGAAAGGCAGAGGTAGTCCTAAAAAGACTTGGGCACATTGTATTAAAAATGATCTTAATCTATTAGAATTAAATTAAAATATGTCACTCAATAGGACACAATGGAGAAAAAGGATTCTTGTAGCTGACCCCACTTAGTGGGATGAAGGTTTTGTTGTCATTATTGTTATTATTGTTGTTGTTGTATTAAATTTTAAATATTTTTAAAACTTTTGAAGGTTAAATGAATTAAAAAAATACATATGTAGTGCATAGTTTGTATGAATTTATATTGTCGCACGCCTAAACTTCGATATTTACATACATAGCATTTTAGTGCTTTAAACCTATACATGAAAATACGTATTTCACTTTTAAAAAGTGATAATAACACTATTTTTTAAGTGATATTAAATATTTGAGTGTAATGTTTGTTGACCCAATTTTGAACGAGTTCATGCAAGTGCAAGTGGCGTGTCAGTAATACAATGAACTTGAGCCAAAATTGTTCCCAAGATGATTTAAATGGTGTGTGTAACTTGAGCTCAAACACTAATTTGAGTATCCTAAATCTATTTCTTAAAAATGTGATTTTTAGTTTTCTTGTTTCTTTTTTTAGGAAAATTTAAATGCAATAAGGATCTCCTATGATTCTTACTTCTTAGTTGATAAAACAAATGCGAAAACAAAAGTTTAAACAAGGTAAATTATCAATCTAAATCAAAATTCCTTTAAAGCTTCGGTCGATAGCTACAAAAACCTAAATTTCAAAACTCAAAGGATAATTGTGCACAAAATAGTTTCAAATTCTGAATAAGCATATTTCTCTTAGTGATTGTAAAGTCTTAAGGACAATATGTCTATTTTGCTGAAGTGATTCTGTAAATTTTTATGCATTTTAAACACTAGTATGGTTATTAGAGATGAAATTCTTGCACTCCTTGCCAACAGAAACTCAAAGGAATAGAGAAGATGGGAAAACGAGATACAAGCCCAAAAACAAATAAGAGGGAGTTTTATTAAAGGCACTTCTGTTAAATTTGGCTGCAGCCATTTAAAAAAACTTTGCCAAGGGTAAAAGAGTAAATGCCTTTTATATCTGATGTATTTAGCATGAACAAGGACTGCTTCGAGCTGGAGGTGAGCCACATGACAGGAGCTGGAGAAGCAGAGGGAACAGGCTACAAAGATTTACAATCAATTACAAGGCTATAAAAAAATTATATCATATTTAAAGGTTGTTTTAATATAAATATTAAGATTTAAATCTCACCCCAACCCTAAAAAATCTTTGGTTGCATGCCTAGGGTAATATTAAGATTTAAATCTCACCCCAACCCTAAAAAACCTTTGGCTGCATGCCTAGGGTAAGCTTGTGTTTGATTTGTTCGCTAAGTTAATGAGTCCAGCATGAACAATTTTTTTTTTGTGCTTGATATAGAAATGAGTCGAACACGAACAAAGATTTGTTTGTTCGTGTTTGACTTGAAATAATTAAATTATATATATATATATATATATAATTGATGAGTAGTATTTTTAAGAAAATTGATTGACTACAAGGCTACAAAGATTTACAATCAATTACAAGGCTATAAAAAAATTATATCATATTTAAAGGTTGTTTTAATATAAATATTAAGATTTAAATCTCACCCCAACCCTAAAAAATCTTTGGTTGCATGCCTAGGGTAGTCAAAACGACTCTTTGTTTGCGAACAGCTCGTGTTCGACTTATTAAGCAAACCAGTCGAACACGAACACATTTTTTGTGTTTGAAATATAAATGATTCAAACACGAATAGTGATATTTTTTAATGAGCCAAACACGAGCGAGCCCAGGTGATGATGTTGAGTTGTGGGAAGCTTTTCTGTGAGGATGTCGACATGTCGGTCAGTTGTCATGATGTTTTGGAGGTAGACATGACATAGTTTTAGATGATTACAAATAGAATGATAGTCTACATTTATATATTTGGTTTGTACATGGAACACCGGGCTGTGCAGAAGCACAATCGCAGAGGTTTTGTCACTAAATATAGTGATCGGGGAGAGATCAGGCCCATCAGGGTTTTAATGAGTTATGAGAGCAGAAGTCAAAACCAAAGGAGTTTAGTGATGATCGTAGCAATTGCCTTATATTCCGCTTCAGTAATAGATTTTAACAACTGTGTATTGCTTTTGGCTGACCATGAAATTAGGTTGGGACCAAGATGCAGAACCATGCAGTAAATTTCTTGTCTGTTTGGTCACTTTTCCAATATGCATCTGTATATGCCAGCAAAATGAGAGATCTTTTCTGGATAGGAAGGCCATAATTTGATGTTCCTTTGAGATAGAGTAGAGGAAGCTTAATTTTTTGATAGTGCAAAGTGTTAGGCTCATGCATGTGTTGACTCTAAAAAAGTTAACTGCGAAAGTGATGTCGGGCCGAGTTATGGTTAGATATTATATGGAGCCAATAATCTTCGGCATATAAACATGTGGGTCAGATAAATGAGTGATAATGGTAGTGTGATATAGGGATGTGTGGGGAGAGGTATAAGAACGAATTTGGAATTAACCATGCATATAGATGTGAGTAATTCATTGAAATAATTGGCTTGGTGTACAAAGTATCCGGTGAGAGTTTTGTGAACCTGTAGACCCCAAAAATGAGAGATATTGTCGAGGTGTTTGAGTTTGAATTGTTGACCAAGCTTGTGCATCAAGGTGAGAATAGAAAAGTTGGAATTTTAGGTGATAAGAAAATCAACAACATAGATTAGAAAATATATTTTGATATTGTTGTGATGATCATGAGAAGAGAGAGATCTTCTCGACTGAGAGTACAGTGTTGACTGATGAAAAATGGGCATTTAAAATTAAGCATGAAGGGGTTAATCTTTGATTTAAGTGAAGCATAGGATTGGTTAAGTGCCTTTTGGCCAGGAGTGAAATCAAGTCCACTTTTAGCCACTTAGAAAAGTGTACTTTTGCAGTGTTGACATAGTTTGGGTGCCTTTATGTGGAGAAAATTCAAGATTTCATGTAAATTAAGGTGATGTTATTTTGGTGTTATTCGGGTTGTATTTCGACAGCATTAGATTTGAATCGCGGATGCGGTGTTATTGATCATGTTATTGTGGGCATAGCAGGGTGCTATTGGCGATGAATTGGAAAAGACGGGTGTATTGGGGCATTTTCCACGACAAGTTGGTGTTATTGGGGGATTTAGCGCGGTACCGCGAGACATGACTTGTAGTATTTGGGATGGATCGTGGTAGTATTGCAGGGTTGCAATGGTGTGTAGCAGGGTTACGACGCTGTATAGCGGGGTTACAGAGAATGGTGTTACTAGTGGAAGTATGGAGGTTGGATTATGGGTCTGCGGCATTGTATAGCGGGATTACATGCGGTGGTAGTGTGGAGGTGTTTCCGTGGTTGTATTTTGGTGTTATTGAGAGGTTTGGAGGTGTTTCCGTGGTTGTATTTTGGTGTTATTGGGAGGTTTTGTTGTTGTTGTTTATGATGTGGTGTTATTAGCATTGAAGTGGTGTTATTTGAGTGTTGTTGGTAGTGTTGCTGAGTGTTAATGGTTTGAGTTTAGCCCAAATCAAGCCCAAACCAAACCTAAACCATTTATCTACTTCAATTCAACTCTTATACACATGGCACAAGACAGTTGGTGAATTTGATGATTTTCATGAAAGAAATTTGAATAGGAATTTGGCAATCTTTTGGGTTTGTGTGGATATTAATGTGAATTGAAATGGGTTTTGAATGTTGTGTGGAATTTGTTGTAAATTGATATGGCTTTGTTAATTTGGCGTCCATGAGAATTGTATTCAAATTTTTTATTTGAGGTTTGGGTTTTT